CCCGTCACACCAGGACGAGGACGAGGCCGAGCTGGTCAACCCGATTTTCGCGATGGGCAACAGCTTTGCAGACGCATTGGCTACGGTTGCGGCAGACGCTTCTTGGGAAAGAGTGTGCACGCCACTACCGCGGACAGACGAATGGGACGCGATCTGTGCTCATGTACGATTGCGAGCGAGGCAGGCCTTGGCGGACACGGCGAACATCGACCCCTGGTGCGTTGAGAGGCCCTCCACAGCCAAGCCCAAAGCCAAGAGGGACCGAGTAAAGGAAGTCGTCGACAAGATGAAGCAGCACGATATGGTCAGGCTCAAGAATAAGTGGTTTTGCACAGCCTGCAGACAGTACATCGCAGCGGACGCCCTGCAGGAGCTTGCCACGACGGAATGCAACGCTACGTTCATCACGGCCAACGAGATAGTCGAGGTAAAGGGCGACAGGTTCATGGGCAATGGCAAGATACATCGCAGTCACGTGGTCAGTGAATGGGCGCGGTACGGATTGCTATTCTGTGCGCGGTGCGCAGCGCATGGAACGACCATCGGGAAAAGGCTACGTGAGCAGTGCAGCGAGACGATCACCAAGTACGGGCAGGATGCGCTCAACAAGATTCGGGACGGACGCTACCCTGGCTACAGGAAAGAACCACCACAAGCTGCACAAGAGGCTCAAATAGCTAGGCAAGTGCGAGAGCTACATGATCAAGAACGGCTAGCGCCACATGAGTACTGCGGCCCATTGGTTTTGAAGGAGCCCCTTCCAGAACCTCATCCTGCACCCCGACCGAGACGGATTACGAGAAAGACGCCAGCGGCAAGCTTTCGGCCAGCAGCGGTACACCCACCAGATTGTGAGTGCGACCCTCTGCCCGAGCCGATGTTACAGGAGTTGGAGGATTACGACGACCCCGAGGTGCAGAGGGACATCGACGACTTCTTCAGCGAAGCTCCCCTGCGCGGTGAGGGGTTAGACCGCGGCGTACCCCAGCGTGGCGAGGGGTTAGGCCACTCCATGCCCCAGCACGGTGAGGGGTTAGACCGTACAGATCGTCGTCATGAAGCTGGATCGGAAACTGCCCCCCACGGCACGCACTGGATGCGCGCAGCCATGTCGGCCACGAGAGCTGAAAGTACCGACCGTGGGGGGAGTCAGAACGGATTGGACAGCCATAACCACGACGACAACTGCAAGATGGACGACAACAGCGGAGTATTGGATCAAGCTCCAGGCGCGATGGGACTACCGCCGATCGTCGAGGACACGGGGCCACAAGATTATGCCGATATGCGCGCTGATCTTAGAGAGTGGGCAACACTGTGGTACGACGATCTTACGTGCTTGGCCAGAGACAGTGACAGCTGGCAGGAGTGGTGCGTAGCGATGCTCACGCAGATGCTCACCGACGAGAACAACCACCCGCTGTGCCGCACATTGAGGCGCTGGTTCCCTGGGCAGACGATGCAGCAGATCATCGAGCAGCAGTGCGGAAGTGCGTGGAGGCAAACGACGGCGAGAAGGGATGAGTTCTACGAACGACTCCATGTGCCAGAGACGGAACCTGAAGAGCATCGCAGATTGGCTCATCGGCATTGGCGTGAACTTGCACGGCTACGAGACATGTTCCGCAGGGCGTTAGGTGATCGGGCGCCAGACAGACAACGGGCGCCACCACCACGACGGCCTGAACCAGATGACGATCAAGCAGGAGACCCCGTCGAAGCTGGCCTCAGTCGCGGCAGCTGGTTTTGCAGGCTGGAGCGGGCGACTGCTGGGAGTACGGCGGCCACGAGTGCACGACCTCCATCCCAAGGGTGGCCTCCAGCGAAGGCTGAGAGGGCCCCTGCCAGTTACCTCCATGAGGGGAGGAAGGCTCCCCACTGTCCGCTTTCGGGCGACGCAAGTCGGAGCCGTGCTGGCGGCGGCCGATCGGCTGGAGGAGGTGCTCCCTCACGCGCAAGAAGGACGTGCAGGGCTTCCACGGCGACAAGCGCATCGGCGGCAACATCAAGTCCAGCGGGTGAGGGACCCCTGCGTGGCGAGGGGTTAGGCCACGACGCTCCCCAGCGCGGCGAGGGGTTAGGCCGCTGGGAACATACACTGGCGTGCTCGAGCAGGTTAGCCAAGGCAGCGGCAGGCGACTGCATCGGGCTCGAGCTCTACGATGAGGACGACGACACCGCACCCCAGCACGGCGAGGGGTTAGGCCGTATCGGTGAGGAAGGACCCCATCGAGGCGAAGGAGAGCAGAGGCTCGAGGGGCGGCGTCCTGATGGGCAGGAGATTGTGGGGGAGCAGCTCCATGAGCACCCTGACGCGATCTCCCCGAGCCAGGGGCAGCCCGACGACCGCTCCGAGTGGAGGAAAGCACCCCAGCGCGGTGAGGGGTTAGACCGCGGCAGTGAGCGGGAGCAGTACGGGAAGCAGTACGACGCATCCCAGCGCGGTGAGGGGTTAGACCGCAGCCGACCCCTGCAGGGCGAGACTGCGGGGTCAGGCGATCCCCAGCACGGTGAGGGGTTAGACCGTAGCGTTCCCCAGCGTGGCGAGGGGTTAGGCCACCAACCCCAGCGCGGTGAGGGGTTAGACCGCTTCTTTCCCCCGCGTGGCGAGGGGTTAGGCCACACGTTTCCCCAGCGCGGCGAGGGGTTAGGCCGCAGTGGAGCGATTTCGAGCTCGAGCAAGTTGGCGAGTGTGCAGCCTGCCGACTACATTGAGCTGGAGCTCTACGAGGAGGACGACGTGGTGTCCCCCGCCAGCGGCGAGTTGCAGGCGCAGCCCTGTGCGCCTGCCGCCGCCGCCGCCGCTCGCTGGCCCGCCGTCGTGAACCCTTGTGTGCCTGTGCGGGCACCAAGGAGTGGGCCCTCGCTGGCCAATGGGCCGACGAGCGGCGGTGGAACTGACTGATAGAGAAATCCACGGGCTCGCCATGTCGAGTGGGGGCTTCGGTGCCTGCTCGGGGTGGCGGGTCTAGTGGCGTGCCTAACCTAAAATCCTCCTCCTCCTCCTCCTCCTCCTCCTCCTCCTCCTCCTCCTCCTCCTCCTCCTCCTCCTCCTCCTCCTCCTCCTCCTCCTCCTCCTCCTCCTCCTCCTCCTCCTCCTCCTCCTCCCCATCCTCGCCCTTGCATGTCCCCCTCCCAGGTCCCCGTCCCCTATGAGCGAGATGCCCAAAATTGAACGCCAGGCCCTGGGTGCCTGCTGGTCCAGGCGCTGGGCGCCCAGGCAAGGGGGACGGAGCGGCGCGGGGGGGAGACTCGAGCCAAGAGCACTGCGGGGCCAAGAGGGCACGGCGAGCTCCTCCTCCTCCTCCTCCTCCTCCTCCTCCTCCTCCTCCTCCTCCGCCTCCTCCTCCTCCTCTCCGCCTCCTCCTCCTCATCATCCTCCCTCCTCCTCCTCCTCCTCATCACCCTCCTCCTCCTCCTCCTCCTCCTCCTCCTCCTCCTCTCCTCCTCCTCCTCCTCCTCCTCCTCCTCCTCCTCCTCCTCGTCCTCCTCCTCCTCCTCCTCCTCCTCCTCCTCCTCCTCCTCCTCCTCCTCCTCCTCCTCCTCCTCCTCCTCCTCCTCCTCCTCCTCCTCCTCCTCGACGGGGGCAAAGGCGGTCGGACGCGAAGAGGCAGGTCTGGAGAGCAGCGCAGGGAGCCATCGCATAGGTACCCTCGCTCTCGCTGAGGGGGGGGAAGGGAGAGAAGACGACGAAAGGAGTGGAATCAGGGAAAGGCAGGGCACCACGAGAGGCCAGAAGAGCTCGGACTGGGAAGCGCAAAGCGGAGTTGTTTCAGAGGTCACTTACAGGGAGGCCGATGGAAGGCTGGGCGAAAACTAGATTGCAGCTCAAGAGAATCAGAGAGGAAGTAGACGAGTATGAAACACGCTGAGGGGAGAAGAATTCAAACAGTGAGTGAAGGAATGCTTAGGGGGTGGTCGAGAGATTGCAATGACAAGCAAGAGATAAGTGGGTGCACAGAGAGGAGATCCAGGCATCCGGCCTGCGAAGAGATTTGGCGTTCCCTGCTGGCGCTGTTCAGGCAGAAAGTGCAAGACAATGTTAGACTTAGGTCGGGCGTGTCCCCCTACAGGAGGGTTTTGAACGAAAAAACATAAATATTTGAAAAATATTCCAAGATACAAAAAATGCCCAAAAATCGTCTCCATACTACTTTCTGACTATATTCCTCCTGTAGAGGGACAGGCCCGACTTAATGGTAGACATGGCTCTTCTGCCATCCATCCTCCGACCCCAACAGCTGCTTGAACGAACGAGCGAGACGTGCCGCCGCCAGTCGAAAAAACTGGCGGCCCCGTGCGGGTGGCAGGCGCACCGCTGCCGGCGCGCGGGCCCTGGGAAGGGTCTGTGGGCAAAAAAATGTTGCTGTTTTTGTTGCTCAGGTGGCCGGCCCGGTTAACATCACCACACCATGTTACTATCCGTGATGTTTGATCTGTGGGCAAAAAGTACCCGACTCACTGCTTCGTGCGCATCACACCGTATCGTTCGTGGGCGGCCCACACATCCGGGGTGCGTAGCAGTTTAGGACCACGATGCCGATCTGGAGCCTCTGAAACGAGAGGCGCCCAGGGTCCTACGATTCCACGGGCCCTCACCAGGCCCGAGGGTCAGTCCCTTAGAGCGGCGACCCCCCGGGTAACTCTTGAGCGGGCAAAGAGCGAGACGAGACGTGCTGCTTCCCGTGGAACACTCCACGTGGATCCCGCTGGACCCTCCTCCTGCTGCCTGCCGCTGTGCACTTCTGCGAGCGTAGGCATCCCTCGACGTCGGCGCTGCTCGCTGTGGCGACGGCGGGGGACGTCAGGACCGGGGCCCCGGACCTGGCCGCATCGGCACGCTCCCCTAAAACGCCGAACGCAGCACCCCGATGTGACTTCATCGGCCGAAGTTCCAGCCAGCGCAAGGGTGTATCTGCCACGCGCGCAGGAGCGCGTGGTCCTCGCGCAGGGCCGCGCCCTTCGGCGGCCGCGCCGCGCTGCGCGACAGAAAACGGCCGCCGCGCTGAAATCAGACCGCGTGGCACGTAAGACCGGAACGCTCCATGTGACGACCCCGAAAACCCTCATCCACGCGGCACTCGTACGACCGACGACAGTACCCCTTTGAAGGGCCCCGGCGACAGGGCTGCCTGCACACGATGCACCATCTGTAGAGCCGACGCGCGTCAAAGTTGTAATGCCTCGCTCTGCTCCTCCACCTCAAGGATGCCAGGAGGGCACACATCGCTTCGACTCGCCTGCCCCCTTGGAAATGCGGCAGCACTGCACGCGCGCGGGGGCCGCTTGCCTGCTTGCACCTGGGCCGCCAGGCGGACGGAGGGGGGGGAGGCGGCGCAGAGAGAGAGAGAGATAAAGAGAGAGAGAGAGAGCAAGATCTATGCGGGCGGCAGGTGGCCCCGCTGGCCCCTCGTCCCCGACCGCTCGCACTCGTGCAAGACTGGGAGCTATCGCCCTGCCCTCCCCTCAACCCCGTGCTGCTGCCGCCACATCCCCCCCCACGATCTGCGGCCATGGCCCGATCCGCGCTTGGGCCAGGCCCCCGCTCGAACGTCACTTTGGGGGGAGGGGGGCTCGAAGATTGGGAGGAAGAGGACGCAAGGGGGGGGGGAGCCACCCCAGCCTGCGCTGGGGTCCCCGCTGCCCGCACGGCCAGCTGGCTGGCCCTACGGTCGGGCTGCTGAAAGAAGGAACGATCAACAAGGGAACGAAGCCCCGCTTTGGCCCCACAAACGCCTGCGTGCACGAGGAAGGCTAGAGTTAGAGGAAAAGCCATGGAAGGACCTCAGGAACATCGAGCCCCTTCCGAACCCAAACTGTTCCTTACTTCAGCGTCTTGACTGTATTGCACCTCGGCCGGCCCCCCGCAGCAGCGCGAGGACGCCCTGCACGCGCTCGCTCGTGCGGCGCCCTGGCCGCCCGCGGCCTGCGGCCTCGGCACCGCTGCTCGCCCCTGCGCCCCGGCCGCGGCGGCCGTGGCCGCCCCTCACCCGCCTTCTGCCTTCTGCCTTCGCCTCCTCCTCCTCCTCCTCCTCCTCCTCCTCCTCCTCCCTCCTCATGCTAACTCCTCTTCCTATCCTCCTCCTACCTCCTCCTCATCCTCCTCCTCATCCTCCCCTCATTCCTCCTTCATCTTTCTCCTCTTTATGCTCCTCCTATCAATCCTCCTCCTCCTCCTCCTCCTACCCTCCTCCTCCATCACTCCTACTCCTCCTCTCCTCCCTACTCCCTCCTCCTCCTCCTCCTCCTCCTACCTCCTTCCTCCTCCTCCTCCTCCTCCTCCCTCCCTCTCCTCCTCCGTCCTCCTCTTTCTCCTCCTCCGTCCTCCTCCTCATCCTCTTCCTCGCCTCCTCCTCCGCCTCCTCCTATTCTTCTTCATATATTATTATTCTTATTATTCCTTATTAGTATTATGATTATTATATTAGTATTATTTTATTATTATTTATTATTATTAATATTAAGTAGTATTATTATTTATTATTATTATGGATTATTATTATTATTATTATTATTTTCTTTATTATTATTCGTATTATTGTTATTGCTATTGTTATTGTTATTGTTATTGCTATGATATTATTATTACTATTATTATCATTATTATTATTATTATAACTATTATTATTATTATTATTTATTCTTCTTCTTAGTATTATTATTATTATTGTTATTATTATTATTATTATTTATTATTAATATATTTATCTTTATTATTATTATTATTATCATTCTTATTATTATTTTTATTATTATTATTATTATTATTTATATTATTATTATTAT